AAATCAATAGGAGCATTCAAAAACATCTAAACCCCATTCCATCCAAAAAGGTTAAGAAAAGTGTCATTTTGTGTAAAAGTAACAATACGCATTTTTAATCTAAATTTTAGTAAGTTTTTACAAAGACCCATTATACCTTATAAATCTGTATTTTTTCCTTTATGGCATGGTAGAAATTCACAAAAAAGTAATAAAATTTTCCAAAAGCTTGAATTTTGAAATAATAGTGTACTTTGTTAATCCCAAGTGTTTGCTTCATTACCTAAATAATAATTGAAATTTATATATGTATGTGTATATATATATATATATATATATATATATATATATATATATATATATATATGTTATATAAGTGGAAATGGGTAATGCGAGTGAATAATAAAAGTAAAAATTAATAGCATGTCTCGCAAAACTAAAAATAAAAAATGGTAGATAGATGTAAGGCAACCGTATATACGTATTATATATATATATATTATATATATATATATATATATATATATATATATATATATATATATATATATAGTGCTTTTCAGACAAAACTATCCACCTTATATAACTTTCGAATTTATAATTTTTAGGAAAAATTGCAAAAACATGTCAATTAGTTATCATTTCTTATTGCCATTGTCATTTCTAAAATCAGTAGAAACAGGAGAATTTAAATATCAAAATAAAAAAGGGGGAAGTAATTTAATAAAATAAAGATATTATACGGGGGGTTAGAGGGTACATTTCCCAGCAACTTTAAATATGATATAATGTCTACCCCTTCAAATATTAATTTAATTGATGTATTTTTGCGTTCTCCTAAAAATCAGAAGGTAAAAGTTATTTAAGGTGGATAGTTTTATCTAATTTATCTAAAAAGCTCTGAATGTATATATATGTATATATATATATATATATATATATATATATATATATATATATATATATATATATATGTATATGTTCGGAAAGATTTCCGCGGTTAGTACAATGAAACTTAGAGCTAAGATTAAGATTATTACTAAAATTAATATCAAACTCACCAGTCTTCCGGGTTGAACCGCGTCGATATCCATTTTGCAGAGCTTTCGGCATCCTCTCTGATGCCTTCCTCAGGCCTCCCGAGCCCCCAGACACTACTACACTGATCACTGCACTGTCACTACTCACTGTAGTGAGTATCATATTCAAATACATAAACATACATATATATATATATATATATATATATATATATATATATATATATATATATATATATATTATTGTGATATTTAAAGTCTTGGTGCGCCAAGCAATTAATTAGCTAATTAATTAATTAATTAATTAATTAAAATCATTTAAATGATATGATTATGACTCTATCACACTTTTTAATTCTCTTATGTCAGGGTTAAATTCGTGCTTCAATATCTATGCTATTACATGTGAAAGGTAAGATCCAAAGAATACCGGAATAATAAAAAACACATATGATATAACACTATATATTGAAATAAAAATAATGAAATAATTCACACTCAAATGTTTTCAATCAACAAAATCTCATATAATGATTCTCAAAATTTTGTTCTACGTACGTGAACCTTCAAAATTAATGGTACAAACAATATTAGTTGAAATCTCAAAATCCAAATATTATTCTAAATCTCCTAATCAAAATATTTATATCCTTTCTAAATTAAGTGTAAAAAATTGTGTTATCAATGAAAGAAAAACTGCAGAAAACAAAACTATCTCTCTCTGATGATGCGTGGTCCAAATCCTTGTTATTTGTAGACTATACTATTTACTCGTGGCCGCTCCCTAGGTAATCAGCAATCTTACAACAAATTATTGCAAGTATATCGTCTTTACTGATCTCCTTCAAATGCACGAATCGTTCAAATTATGCTAGCTTCTTCTTCTCTCAATAAACTGAATCTCTCGTTGGCCTGAGTGAAAAATGACTCTTGGAATATCTTTTCTTTACGATAAACTGAATCTCTCGTTGGCCTGAACAGTGACTCTTGGAATATAAGTAGAAAAATATGACTTACAATATTTTACTGGATCAGCTTCTGTCAGATACACTAACTACACGAAAACTCACAAACTTTCACTGCTACTGCTTCCTACCTCTGGGAAACTACCCGAGAACAACGGCCGTTCGCCTTGCACCCTTGGAAACCAACTGATTATCTTTTCTCTCTCCTAAATCTAGCTAAACTTTCATTCCTACATACCTATCCCACCTTTTTCAATCTCCGCAAATCAAAGCTCGTCACAATTCCCCCATTTTTTCATTTCGATAACAAACAACTTTTTACCTATAATTATAAAATTTCCTAAAACTTATTTACAAATAATATTTTTCTACAATTTTTAAAAACTAACAAAAACCTCTTTCTAAAATCTCTTCTATTGTCTTTAATCACTGCATTAATGTATTTGGAAAACCCGGTTCAATTGTCTTTGGATTTCACTTAAAATTATGCGGGTCACTCAAGTATAACAAAGAAATAATTTATGCATAGCTTACATTTTGTTTAATACAGGTAATCCAAAAATTTAAAAACTTTCCTTCTTCGAAATGTTTGTTGGTTATTATCCTACTTATCTGAATTATTTTAATGTTTTTGAACTTTGAAATATTTTAATCAAACCAATATTTTTCTCGATTTTACATATCATAACAATATATATATATATATATATATATATATATATATATATATATATATATATATATATATATATATTAAAAGGCCTAAGAGACAAATTCGTTAAACTTCCCGTGCTCGAATCGGTATCACTAAAGTGTTATGATCATTTCGGCCTATCCCAACCATCGTCAGACACTTGGGCTGATAGAAATTCAAACTCGGAAAGTAAAACGAATGTCTCCCAGAACTCCACTACAGCGTAGTTAGCTTACAAAGGCGCCTTTATACGCATTTATTAGATAGATTCGCTATTAATTTTGGTGATAATCAAATAGGTGACCAAACCTATGAAAACCTTTTTTTTAATTATACTTGGTGATATGTTTCATTTTAATTTTTTGCATTCTTTTTTTTTAACATATAATACAATTTTAATAGAAAATTACTGTTTAAGGAGGAGATATTTACTTCCAGAAAGCGGCCTATTTAGCCTTAGCAGTGCTAGCAGAAGGTTGCTCAGAATGTATTAGGCACAAATATCTTGAAGATTTTTTAAAATGTGTCTGTACGGCTATTCATAATCCTAATGCCGTTGTAAGAAATGCAGCATTTTTCGCTTTAGGACAATTTGCAGAACATTTACAGCCAGAAATTAGTCAATACTCATCAGAATTATTACCTGTGTTATTTGAATGCTTACGTCAAATTTTTGTACAGATGGCTGCAGAAAGGAAAGACCCACCGAGTTTGGATAGATTGTTCTATGCTTTGGAAACTTTTTGCGAAAATTTAGATGAAGGGTTAGTATTTCACAACTTTTCTACAACTGTTGAAGTAGGTTTCAAAGCGATTGCTTTGATGTATTTATTCAAATAATTTAATCGAGCATATTTTTCCATACCAAATATTATAATTTTTTTAACACTAACACTTCTATGGATAACAAAGGATGAGTAGGTTGGAGTTGGAGTATGACAAGTATTTTTGATGAATGAGAGCATTGCAGTTAGTAGATGTTATAAGCGGGTTCTGGATCACTTTTCAAGATGGCAGCTGTGACGTCATATCCTCGTGTCTCTAGGCCACGCCCTCCGCTAATGGTGACGTAGGAACACTTCTCGTGTATCTAGCTCGGCCAATAGTGACGTAGGAACGCCCCCTCGTGTCTCGAGGCCACGGCCCTCGACAAATGGTGACATAGGAACGCCCCCCGTAATGTTGGAACGTATCTTCGACCAATGGTGGCATAGGAACACCCACTCGTGACGGTTTCACGTCAAATGTCACGTCTTGCGTCGAAAGTCATGTGTTGCGTCATATGTCACGTCATTTAACGTTATATTTCACATTAAATCTCACGTCCTGCGTCGAATGACACGTTTTGCTTCGAATGTCAGGTCAGTTAACGTGACATGTTCTTTCCTGCCAATGTCACGTGTTGCGTCGAATGTCACGTCATTCTCGTCATTTAACGTGACATTTCACATCAAATATCACGTCATGCATCGAATGTTACGTCCTGCGTGGAAAAAAAGAAGAGTTGACGCCATCTTCACGTTTGAGGGATGACACACGGGAAGGAGAATTGACGCCGAAGTCCAATGAGAACGATGTACACCGACTAATGGTGGAGGCACCCCACAATATTAACGAAAAGACGCCCCCATTCCCCCCAATAATAACGAAGATACGCCATTAACGAAAAATCTTCCAAACGCCCCCCCCCCCCCATTCACCCAATAATAACGAAGATACGCCTTAATGTGTACCAATGGCGACAGCCGAAAAGAAGACGAATTAACGTTGACAGTCAAAGAGAAGACGTGTGTAATTTTTAATCAACCTTGTATATATTTTATAGACGATGATTAGCGTAAGGACGTTCAAATTTTCTCAATTTGTATTTTACGAGTAATTTTTAATCAACCTCGTATATATTTTATCCAGAACGAATAGCGTAATAGCAAAAATTCGTTTATTTTTCAATTTATATTATACGAGTAATTTTCGAGTAACCTCGTATATATAATTAAACTTGGGAATCTTTATAAAAATTCCAACAAGCAGATGTGCATTTCCTTTTAACATTTCTCACACGGTCGTCGGAAACACGTGCATTTCCTTTTCGACGTGTCTAAGCTTGTTAAGTCATGGAATGATGCCACCGGACGTAGTGGTTGCATCATTGCGTATAATTATATATACAAGGTTAATCGACGACATTCCGTGAAGTAAATATTTATGTATACAGGGTGCAACGAAAAAGTTTTGTGTAGCACAAATATCATTTATTGGATTTGTAAAACACAACCAAATAATTAATTTAGAATATCATAGCAGTTGGGATTATCGAGAATATTATTTATATTGGGGTTTGAATGAAAGTCTTAATAAGAAATTATTTACAATTCTTTCAGAATTTGCATCATCCATATTATTCTTGTATTTATCCCACAATGCCTTTCGATCCTCATCCGTCGGACTGATCTTGAACGAATACATTTTAGATCTAAGTCCTACAAAATGCGTCATAATGCGACCGTTTGTCTCATCTTTTATCATTCCGAGAACTTTTTTGTTGACTTGAGGTATTCCATAAATATTATTCTCAGAATAGTCTGATGTATCGAATTTAGATAAATTTGCTTTAATAGCATCTCTGTAAACGTCATCATATTTTATTTCATAGACAAAACTGCCAGTGTCCCCATTCATCAGCTTACAATTTTCAATTCCCATATATGGCAACATAAAGTTATAATGAATATCGTACATACATACTTTGGATATATCTAAAATAGACATGTCGATGTACAATGATTTGTGGAAAATAAGCTGTTTTGTTAACTTCTAATTGCCATTAGATCTTCATTAAACACGGCACTATTATAAAATTTTTTGCTAGCAATCAATTTTTTTGTCCCATATCTTCCTTATGTTTTCCATCGGTTTACCAAAGATGGCATTGTTTGCCAATTTGTACAGGTCTTTTTCAAATGCTGTAGTTGCTGCAGTTCGCAATCTGTTGTTAAGATCGATGTACGGCTTAAGCCACGCGCTCTGCTGGAACTTTAGCATTCTATGGATTTTTGTTAGTTTGAGTCCTGCATTAAGAGCTTGTTTTAGATTGCGATAGTGCAAAGTGTACTCTTTTTTGTGGTACAGGGTGGTCATAAGTTTTGAAAGTTTTGCTTTTTGGTGGAAAATTTGAAAGTTCTTACGCTAATCATCTAAAATTACACACTTCTTCTCTTTGTCTGTCAACGTTAATTCATCTTCTTTTCGGATCTCAATTCGTCTTCTTTTCGACTGTCGCCATTGGTGTACGTTGAAGCGTATTTTAGTTATTATTAGGGGCAATGGGGGGCGTTTGCAAGTTTTTTCGTTAATGGCATATCTTCGTTATTATTGGGGTGAATGGGGGGGTCTTTTCGTTAATATTGTATGGTGTCTCTACCATTAGTCGATGCACATCGTTCTCATTGGACGTCGGCGTCAATTCTTCTTTTTGTCTGTCATCCCTCAAACGTGAATATGGCGTTAATTCTTCTTCTTTTCGAAGCTGGACGTGACTTTCGACGCATGACGTGACATTCGACGTAGGGCATGACTTTTGAAGTGAAATGTCACGTTAAATGACGTGACATTCGACGCAACACGTGACATTCAACGCAACACGTGGCATTCGACGCAGGACGTGACATTTGATGTGAAGTGTCACGTTAAAGGACGTGAATGACGTGACATTCGACGCAACACGGGGCATTCGACGCAGGCGTGACATTTGACGTGAAATATCACGAGGGGGTGTTCCTTTGCCACCATTGGCCGAAAGTACATTTCAACATTACGAGAGGGCGTTCCTATGGCAGCATTGGTCAGGTGTTTACTTGTGGACGTTCCTATGTGGTCTAGGAGCGTGGCCTATGGACATGAAGGGTGTTTCAACGTCACTATTGGTTGAGGGTGTGGCCTAGAGACACGATGATACGTAAGCTTGCAATCTTGTGATGTCACAGCCGCCATCTTGAAAACTGATCCAGAACTCTCTTACGTAAGCTTGCGTTCTGGCTGTTATCTTTAAAAGTGAGCCAGAACCCGCTTATAAGATCTACTGCAATTCTGTACCATACATAAGAAATAATACGTAATTGGTAGATGTAATCGCTGATATGCAATACCAATGAAAATATGACATAGTATAAAATCAATATGTATCTATGTACCGTTTTAAAACGAATAAGCAGTTTCTGTACGTTACTGCTTGTTTTAAGGCAATCATGCGTATATTACGAACGACTTTGATGGGGCGAGGACAATGTTTAAATTCAATATACGCCAAATCATAGACTATTAGGATGTTGCAATACATTAGAATTTAAATCCTTACGAATCTTGGAAATACACCACCGAAAAAAAATGAATCCTAAAAACATTAACTATTTCAATTTCATATTGAATTGCGCGGCAGGGTCGGATTTGCGCGTAGTGTAAAGTACAGATCATATGATGTCTATTATTTCCAATAAACATCTATTATGAATATTTAAACTTGAAAATTCTTTAGTCTGTAGTAATAGAATTTTACGACTTCCGTTTTCGTCATCGTTGTCAAAAAAATAACCCTTTATCTACAGACAAAAAGTTTGTGGGTAATTAGTGTTGTTTTTAAATAATATTGACTGTAAACTTAAGATAAAGTGAATTTTTCGTTTCATTACAATGGAGGAAGAAGATCCCTCTGATTAAGGGGATTAAACAATATGAATAGGAAAAGAGGAGATCCAAAATACAACAATAATACTGCCATTGATAAGGATCGACCCAAAAATTGTTTAATTTTGCAAAGCAAAAAGCTCATCTTTCCAATAAAGTGTATGTCTAGATCGAAAAAAAAAGGAGGAGAATTTAGGTAAAATTCATCCAATGAAGACTTTCACATAAGATTTTTGCTGTCCAAAATATAACAAGTATTGTAACGAAATATGTTGACTTCCACATAGGGTATTATTATAGGGGTTGAAAATTGGGGACAGAAACTATTGGGGTAGAGATGTTGGCAAGCAAAATAAACGAAATTTATGCGAACGGCACTCAGGGCTTAATTAGAGAGCTGGGGTAGTGGATAAGTTGAATGGCAAGGGGTCGGATTGGGGCAACTACAAAAATGAAACAAAAGGAGGGTATTTAAATAAATCTGCTGGACAAATGGGCAACAAAAACAACAAGAAAGACCTCTAGGTATTTGAAATAAGGATGCCGCTTCGAAGGATCCTAGTCTTGCTGGATAAAGGAAATAGGCTCTTCTTTCCTAAAAAAAACAAAAGCATAAAGGGATTAGGGGACTTTTCTATAATAAATAAACAAAAATGATTTAGAGAAATAAATTCAACATTTATTAAAACAAGATGACGGTATTAGATTTTGATTTGATACAGAGCAGCAACAAGACGCATATACGTATTTCGATCTCTTTAGATCTCCCCAGTACGGTATAGTTACTACTATATACTTACTATACCGTACTGAGGAGATCTAAAGAGATCGAAATACGTATATGCGGCTTGTTGCTGCTCTGTATCAAATCAAAATATAATACCGTCATTTTGTTTTGTTTATTTACTTCATTTGGAGTACCAGAAATCGAATTCACTACGAATATAGGCCATGATGAACGGCATTTGGAGTGCAATTTTTAGACTCCCTTGTCGATTCATTCATCAAGCTGTTTGCTTCGCAAGTTTTAGGGAGCACGGCGGCTTATATTTGAATTCGATTTCGCCAGGTAGAAATCGTATGATTTCTCTTTTTAAACATTTATTGTTGTCTTAACACAAACAGTTACACATACAAATAATACAAAATATACTTTATTAATAGTTTCAAAGGTTTATACCAAAACAATAAACAAAAAAAAAAACACTTACATGTCCAATCTGTTTTACAAACTCTTTTTACAAGTGGGAGATGCTACAAAACTTTCAAAAATTGTTATTAGGCTAAAGTTAACTGAGCTATACGTTACTGAACTATAAACTGTGGCAGAAATAAATCATTACAATTAAACAATTCTTTTTAGATAAAGTATCCGTAAAGATGTTAACCTTTAAAAAAACAAAGCAAAATAATAGCACAAAAATAATAAAGCTAGCTGCTAGCTGTCAACATAAAATCTTACAAGTAAATAAATAAAATGACAGCTAAGACCACGCCCATAGTTTACAATATTAATCATTACATTTTCTTTTTTAAATTATATGAAAGCAAAATATTATTATTAAAAAAATGTCTATCTTTACTTTAGAATTTAATCACAAAAAAGTTACCTGGATTTCACTAGATTACACATTCACTCTAGATTCCTGGGGGTAGGACCTGGACTTATACTATACTCTCTGCCACGCAAAAACTGCAACTCCAAATTGTGAAAAAAATATTCCGAAATGGCTGCTTAGCACATTGTGGATTGAAATGGGTGGTACTAGATACAAACTTCAGACTGGGCTTCTTAAAAAAACAGGAAACTGGAAAATCAAAATTGCTGCAGGCGACACAAATCTCTTAGATACTTAGAAACAGAAAATAGATCTCTTCCAAATTTAACATATTACATAGAGTATATTTCACTATTTTTAACTAACTTTGTCGGTTTCTTTACCGACTCTCTAAATACGTCCGCTCATTCGTGTTACCTATTTCAACCTAAACTTGAATTCATATTGACCCTCGATATCTGCAGGGGCTACCGTTTCCCTTACCTCTCCATCGCTTCTTACCACGGAACAAAACAAAGTTCCTGTTTTAAACCACTTCGACTACCTCGCAAAACAACCTCTAGAAAAACGACATTGAATCACTTCCAGTTTTTAAAATTGTAGAAATACACACGTATAAAAATAAAAACATATTTTTCTTTTACATCACAAATAAACATAATTGGCGAAATATAATACTTGGGTCAGGGACATACTTAGAAAATTTTATACATAAATATTACATATGTAGTTTAAAGAATTTTCAACATGCTATAATTGCCCCCTTCTTAAAAGAAAAAATTCGGATAATTTTATCCAGTTTTTGATAAAGGCAAAACACCAAAAACAAAATTAAAAGATGACCTCTTAAACAAGTTGAGACTTCTTAATAATATATTTTACATGATGGCGTGGGATTAAACAATAAAAACAACATTATACTAAAACAGTTTTTATCTGAAAACGATTTTTTAGCAACATCGCATTTAAAGCGACGAAAGGATATTTCCCTTATCAACTTTGCAGAGGCGTACCAAAAAAAGATTTTAATTATTTATTTAAATACATACGTAATTACCTAAAAATTAAATCTAAGACCGATATAATTATTAAATTATTATATGTGTCTTGACGGATAACGTAAAAGCCATATAAGAAGAAAGGTTAGTAATTAAGCAATGATCAATGGGCATCAAACAATTTTTAAAATTTAATTTCAATCACTTAAAAAGTAAATTATGTAATTTCATATATTTTATTATTGTTCTGAAGCTATTTTCTAGTGGCATTTTAAGTAATTACTATTTAAATGAGAATAAGCCACAATTTAAGGTTAAAGTAAGTTTATTGACGTCTCAATTTCCACTTCAGGAATCGTTCTTAAAATACAAACAGTAGTAAATTAAACAAATTTTGTTTCTTTGTTAATTTCTTTCTTAATAAAGAAACAAAATTTGTTTAATTTACTACTGTTTGTATTTTGAAAACGATTTCCGAAGTGGAAATTAAAACGTCAATAAACGTACTTTAGCCTTTAATTGTGGCTTATTC